TCATTTAAACTTTCAAAATCACTGTTGGTGACAGGCCATAGTTTCTCTCTCTCTCTCTCTCTCTCTCTCTCTCTCTCTCTCTCTCTCTCTCTCTCTCTCTCTCTCTCTCTCTCTCTCTCTCTCTCTCTCTCTCTCTCTCTCTCTCTTTTTCTTTTCTAGCTTCGAACAATATATCCGCTCTTGCTAAGTCGCATATAGTCTTATCGTAACTCGACAAGAACTAAACCAATGTGGCTAATTCACAAAAATTGAATCTGATGCACAACGTCGAATTAACATTAAGTCATTGCATTTTTCCAACCTGCTAACCGCTTTCTTATAGTTAGGCATCTTTTATAAATTTTAGGCCCCACTGTCATCTATAAATTAGTGCTTTCTGGGACATATTTACAAAAGGTATAATTTTGGTATCAGATTATAGTTTGATCGAATAATTAATTAATTGATGTTTATATGAATTCTATTAAATTAAAATCTTTGTTAATTTGTGGTTTGTATTATTATTTTCAAGAATAAACTGGCCAACAATCCATATTCAGACTCAATAGTTCCATCCATTAAGTTTCACCTTTTGTTTTGATATCTTATTTCAAAAGTAGCTTATACATTTTTTTTATTTCATTCAAACTGGAAAGGACTGACGGGTCTGACATTTCAAACTGGAAAGGAAGACGGATCTGACATTTCTAACTGGAAAGGACTGACGGATCTGACATTTGTACCTATATCAGACATTAACTTTTAAAATAAGAAATTTACACGTAGATATAAAAGCATCTTCGCTTGTCAAGGTTCCGAACACATATTTTAGTGCTTTTCCTAGCGACATCTATTGGATTTCATGAGTTGTCTCTCTTAGTATGTAATACCGACTAACCAACAGCATTTAACCCTGGAGTGTCTTATGTTGGCTCAATATTGAGAAGAAATTGCCTTCAAAAATATACTTTGTAAGTTTAACATCGGAAGTATGACTACATATCAGAAAGCTAAGCCATTGCGTGTTTATTTGAGTGAAAGGTATTTGCACAAACACAAATTGGCAATGGAAAACTGCTTATTTTATGAGTCCATTCTTGTTGTGTGCTCCCCTTGTCTCGATCATGTAAAAACTGTGTTCAAATTTTAACATCTTACTTTTGATGACAAGCGGTGGCGTTCCGTCGCATCCAATGAAATTCACAGACCCGAAGCACAGAAATTGCTGCATACGCCAAGGTGTACACAGAGTTAAAATATAGGAAACTTTTCTAGCGAAAATGACATAAACAGTACAAGGAAAAGAAATCTAAGTTTAAACCTGCAGAAATTAATGGATATATTGGCTTTTCTTTATGCTTTTTAGCTTAGAATAAATTAAGGTTTAATGGATTTATTTGTCAGTTTTCATTACGTTTGTCGCCAAGATTTGAATAGATTGGGGAAGTACAATTTCATTTATGTAAGCACTACTAACCATATAAATCAAGTTGTCTGATATACCTTGCCAATTGTGTTTCACATTACTAAGTTCAATATATACGACGTCCTCAACTCCAATATCAGGGACGTGTAAATCACACAAGTCTTCAGTCACCTATTAAAGTTTGTTCTTTTTATTTTAAAAAAGTCAACTTGTTGAGTTTCCAGGGGAATAAATCCAAAAATCAGACGAACAAAAAAAAAACAATCTAGCAACAAATAAAAAAATAATACACCTTGTTACTTCAAGGTTTTAGAATGACTCTCCATAAAAAAATATTAGGAATGCATATTTAAAACCTCATACATCATTTCAAGCGCGCGAGATTGGTCATGTGGTCTCTGACTACGCTAGCTTTAGCACGCAGACCAAATTGTCCCCACTTAAAAATACCAGTCATAAATTACGTTGTTTACACTCAGTGATCACGTATAGAAAGTATGCCCCTGATACTGACCAATCATGTTAACTTCATGTTGACACTGTTACCAAGACGAACTAAGGTAATAAAAAAAATAATTCTAACTTAATACTTCTTCGTTTTAAATAAATAATCTTTGTTATAAGAATATATCTCATTACTAAAAAGAATCATGAATTCGACAAAAGTATTCATTGCAATAAAATACAATGAAACAAAAATGAACTAAAAAGAATTTTGAAATTTACACACAAGCAATTTAATTGCATATACGTAACCGCTTCCCAAGCTCACAAATTAGTTGGAAAGTGCATTCAAGAATCACTTGGTTCGTTTGGTAGTATAAAGTAGACAGTTTCTTGATTCCAAGGTAAACAAGTTGTTTGTTAGATTCTTAAAACGAGTATTCATAAACAGTTGTGAGAATAATGAAATTGTATGCTATTGGTATATTATTGGCGATTTACGAAGAAATAAATTGTTACTCAGATCAAGGTACTGTCATTGTACTTTTGTAAGGTTTTCAGTTTGGGCTTGAAAACTGAGATTACCTACAGGAACAAAAGAATGTGATAAAATCAGTAGAACACAATGAGTATGCAGTTGTCAGGTACACTATTGTAGCATCGCAGCTCTTTTATTACTCAAATAATTTCTGCATTACGGGTATCACCGTTTGGTCGATTCCCTTTCAAAGAGAATCATATATCGTATCCTGCCGGTATTATCAAACGATGATATTAACCTTAATGTGTCAGTTCAGCACACGTTTATTGATGAATCCCTGCAAATGGTCAATGACATATAAAAAGGTACATCACAATACTTCAAATGTTTCCTATCAATGTTTTTTTTTATACAATTAGAGGTGAGGAGTTGGCAAATAAGAATATTATTTTCCACTGTGATTATAACTGTATTTATCATATTTTGAATAATGTGACTTCAACTGAGTGATGGATGTAATCCGAATCTTTACATGGAAATGCTTGCAGCCTAATAGTCTGGTAAAGGAATTGTATATATGTATCGTAAAGAATTTTTGTCACATAGCATGCCACATTTGCAGACCAGCAAGTTTCCACGACAGAAACTGCCATTTCCCTTGTGGAGAATATTCATTTGTGGAGAAACTTCTAAATGCTACTATTTTATTGTAAGAACAGTGTATGTAAATGCGTTATCCGTTTCATAACAATTCTGTTTATCATGCATAGTGCAACGTTAATGGCCAATATCGGATTCTGAAGTGTTTTGGTTTTTGGTTTACTCCTTTGAAGTTTGTTATGTTGTTCTATCCGTTTGAGATTTAGACATGATTGATTGGCGGAATCCAACTGATGATGTTGTCATAAAATAATTATGAGCGATCTCAAAGCCTAATCTGGAGAACGGTGTTGCATCACAAATTTCAGCTAGTACACTGGCCAAATTTTTGGTATATGTTGTTGAAGTATGTGATTACACCTATGCGGTATTTTGTTTCGGCAGTGTATTGCTTTGCCTACTATGGTTGTTCCGAGTCAGATTGGGTGGGGATGTGGTGGCTGCTTGCAAAACTGCATAATGCTACGAATTAGAAAAGCTATGAGCAATCTCTCTTCGCAAGCCAATTTATTCTGAGATTATCATCTTCTACTATTGCTTTATAGTTTTAAATAATCCATTCCTTCAAAAACAAGAACAACCTTGATGGTTTTTCTTATTCTTCTACCCGATTTGCATTGGTTCTTGAAATGCTTAAGTTCAATTTTTCTACCTTGACTTTTTTCACAAGCTTCTTGTTTTATTAAACTATTTGGAAATTAATTCACGTTCATCATCTAGTATCGAAATTTCCTTGAAGCTACTCTTCCTTGTTTTAGCTGATCCTATTATAAGTTTTATGTGGCATACCTTTACCCTGTATATCCATCAAAATTGTATACAGATTTTAAGATGTAATTCTTAGTTAGATATATCATCTTAATTGTATACAGATGGTAAGAAGTAATTCTTAGTTGGATATATCATCTTAATTGTATACAGATGGTAAGAAGTAATTCTTAGTTGGATATATCATCTTAATTGTATACAGATGGTAAAAAGTAATTCTTAGTTGGATATGTCATCTTAATTGTATACAGATGGTAAAAAGTAATTCTTAGTTGGATATATCATCTTAATTGTATACAGATTGTAATAAGTAATTCTTAGTTGGATATATCATCTTAATTGTATACAGATGGTAAGAAGTAATTTTTAGTTGGATATGTCATCTTAATTGTATACAGATGGTAAGAAGTAATTCTTAGTTGGATATATAATTGTATACAGATGGTAGGACTTAATTCTTACTTGGATGTACTATTTTATACAGATGGAAAGAAGCAATTCTTAGTTGGAGTAAGAAGTAATTCTGTTGGAATCTAAATTGTTCTGATACTTTGTAAGATATTCAGCATTTACATTTTGGATTATTATTTTAATTTAATTTGCATTTTCTTTATATAACAATACATTACTATCAAATTTACAGAGCAGCTTAGCTCAACGAAGTTAATATATTTTTTAATTAAATAATTTCTTAAAATCTGAGAATTTACAGATGAAACGCCAGTGTCATGTGATAAATTTGGTGAAGGAGAGACAAATAACTAAATGTCTTGAAGCAAGTATAATCTGCAGTAGACGGTTTACCAGTTTATAAATATGTATTTTAAATCATTATAATAATAATTATATGAAATTGTCATCTTAAGACAGCACATATCTAGCCCCAGTGATCTTACAGTTATTCAACTTTTCGAAATTCATTATTTATTGACACCGTATGAAAACGAAGAGGATATTAAAATCGTTGTAGGTTTTTCACAATGGAGCAATGAATAATGCGGGCCAAATTTAAGGAAATCTATAATGTACCTCATCACCGGTACTTCTCCAGCTAGGAACATTGGATATGACAACAGATTACTTCTTTGTTTTAACTGATTGAGAATATATACACTAATGGTGCTTAAGGCAAGCATAGTTCCATTATTATTAATGAATTTTAGTTCCTTTTAATTTATTAATAACTGCATTATTTATTTTACACCATCACATAATCAGACTGTTTTCTGCAGCATATATAACCACTCGTGTGGCCTAGTGGTTAGAGCGTCCGCCTCGGAAGCGGGAGGTCGCGGTTTTGAATCTCGGCTGGGTCATGCCAAAGACTTTAAAAAATGGTACTAACAGCTACCTCGCTTGGCGCTCAGCATTAAGTGGTTCATGTTAGGACTGGCTGGACTGGTGTCAGGATAATGTGACTGGGTGGGACGTCATGCCACATGTCTGCGGCGTGATGCCCTAGTACTAAACATCACTATAAACTGTTACACAGCAGACATAATAGCGATATGACTGAAAAATTGTTAAAGCCACGTTAAAAATCTATATCACACATACACACATTCTTCAACATTTTTTCCCATCATGATTTTTAAAAATCATGGCAGATATCAATGTCATGATTTTATTATGCTATATTGACTATTATGTGATGTTGATAAAAGTTGTCGAGAAAGTAATGCCTTTGTTGTCCATAAATAGAATGCTGTGTATTTAAACGGGATCTACATTATTTTCCATCATCTAAACAACGTCCAGAGAGGAATCAGTGAACCCAAATACTGGCGAAAAGCTAACTAAATGTTCAATATCTCCAAATTGAAAGATAAGAATTTAAAACAGAAATTACTGATGAATAATGCATATAGCGCTTGATATGAACACCAAGAATATCGTGGATAACTGGGCATCCTTCAGAAACTACATGTACTCAGCTTCACCCAACACCCACTCCACATGTAAACATCAAGATGGGTTCGATGTGAACATTGGTTTGATGAGAACAATGCAGTCATACAGGACTAATGAATGTTAAACAAAAGCTACACATGAATTGTTTAGAAGACAGCACTTCATCATCTCAGAAGACAGTCTAATAACAACAATAGGACTGTCCAATGAAGACTGATAGTCGCAAGATGGACAAAAAGGTAGATGAGAGCCAGTTCTACGCAGATAAGAATTCAATGAAATATTGATATGATAGTTTGGAGACAATCTACGAGCTACAGTAATCAGGATTATATCTAGTACTTAGTACGGACAGCACTGCACTAAACTGACAAAGAAAAGATTCGTCAACAACATTATCATTCTACAATCATCCATCAGTGAGGTGGCAAATAATGGAATGCTTAAGTGGAAAAACTATCATGCTGATCATTCACTGCTGATTTAAACTGAAAACAATATACCAAATGGCAGATTTAATACCAGCAGGAGTCTCAAAAACCGGATATTTACAGATGGCACAGAAACGGATTGAACTATTCGGTAATATTGACTCAAGGAACTATAACTAAGGGGTGCAAGGATGCATCTTTTGTTCTCTTCTATGAGCGGAAAGACAAAACAAAATAACGGAACAATCATCGGATATTGTTTTGCTGTCAATAGACGGCACACTACTCACCAAAATTCTGCTAAATTGCGTTGTGCATCATAAGGATCAAGGAACCTGCCCGAGAGTCAGTGTGGTTTCAGGAAAGGACAATTGATCATAGGAAATTTCAGATGAAATGTTAGGAACAGAATTCCATCCTAATAAATTCACCCTCCTGATAACATACTCTAACACAATCAGTCGTTGAGGAGGGGGAGGGGGCCCTCTGTAAGGTCATTGCAAAATATGTTTGCCCGGAGAAATTAATCGTAAAGGCGTGGAAATTCCATGCTGGCAGGGTTGTAATCGATGGTGAGTCATCTGAATCATTAACAGTAACTAGTGGCATCAAGCAAGGCTGTGTGATGTCCCCAATCTCCTTAGACTGATGTTCTCTGTTCTGCATACTGATTCCTTCCATGAATATGACACTTAGATTTACATAACAGACTGATGTCAAGTCTTCTATCTGATGTGATTACAGGGCAAAGACGAAGTGACAGTATTTGACAGTTCGTGATTTGATGATAAGTGTTTCCAGGATGCCAGGTCTGAGTCTGTCATGCAGCAAAGTATGGCCATTTCTGTTCAGCTTGTGACAGTTTCGGTCCATAATCCGTACAAAGTAGACAGGAATGATCCACCAACCTGCACCAAGAACGTCTAACGTACAGCCTATCATCAGTGTAAATATCTAATCCCTCCTATCAGTTCTCCTATCTCGGAAATGCCTGGTCACGTGCAATCAATATCGATGACGAAATCAACTCCATGATATCTAAACGGAGTGCGACCTTTAGCAGAATACGCTCAAACGTGTGGGAACGAAGTAGATCAGTCCGCAAATAAAAATTTAAGTGTGCAAAGTCATTGTGTTTCCGGCTGTTATGTATCCATGCTGAACCTAGATGGTGTAAAGACTCCATCTTAAAAAGCCAGACTATTTTTAAAAGGCTGTCCGCTGAAAATGAAGAAGATAAATTGGCCGGACAGAGTCACAGTCATGGAGGTTCTCACATGAGTTGACATTTTAAGCGTCCACACTCTGATGACAAAATCACAGATGGAAAGCAGAGCTCATCACCAGGATGTCCGACGAGCGACTGTCAACGAAGGTCTACGGCGAGCTGAAGGGACGAAAGTTATCGCAGTTCATCACTTAATCAAATAAAGGAAACCATTTCTTTATGTCAATGTCATCTTCGAACTCAAAAGACGAGCAGAAGAAACAATTTAAGAGCAGCATTTCTTTTATTCATTTAATATATACTATTGCATACGGTAGCTTTAACTTTTTGAACATTTTGCTGCATTTTCTTTAAATAAAAATGAATTGCTTTGCTATGGTAACCGTATATAGTTTTCCTTACTTTCTATCCCCATCAGTGCCTGAATATTACAGAATTCAGGAGAAATGTATGTTTTGTATTTGTAATTTAATTGTCATTGTCAAGAATGTGACGTGTTAGAACATATAAATTGCAGTCAGTACCTAGATTAATGTTATAAAATATTGCACAATCTTTGATTTTCGTTTATTTAATACAATTAAATATCATGCTTTTTTCATAAGCTTTATAAGCTGAGCAACTCACAGAGATAAAACCTTTTACCATATAAAACGCCATGTATCGCTTAACGCACTTGTTTTGCTTGCTGGTGCCACCATGACAATTTTATTGTCATTTCAGGTGACTATTAAAAAGCCCATTCCGCAAAAAGCAATACAATATGCAAATGTATATAAAAATCTGTACTTAATTAAACATAGAGGCAAATACTAATATAAAGGACAGGTTGGGAAGGAGAATGAACAATCCTTTAGATACAAGCTCAGTATCAGATTTCGTAATGGCAAAACAAAACAAAGGAATATATATGATTTTGATACAAAGAAACTTTGGAAGTTTTAATTAATCTAATTTGATTAAAATATAAAGAAAACTACATTCGTGTAGATTGCATTAATAGTAGCGGTATCTCCTTACCTGTGATTAATATATTTATTATTAAAAGTAATTTTACTCTTGTTTTACTTTAATTCATGGACTACCATTTTTTTTAATCTTACACTCACCACAAACCATACATTGGAATGCCATACGCATGGTGTCTTTGTCTAAAATGTAATTATTCTCAGGTGCATAATTAAAATTATCACTCCTTTTAAAAATATTAATTTTTTTCAGAATAACAAAAAATTAGACAACTGCATCTGTATGATACATACGTATAATACGATAACATAGTTTAATAGAATTAGGTATTCTTGTGCATCTCCTTAGAAGCTTTTTATGTTTTGCTTTCTTTGACGAACTTCTTTATAAAACAATCGAGCATAATTGAAAATGCCTCTTCGTTTGGCAGTAAAATGGCATAGATGTTTCGTCTTCTCCTAAATAAAAATAAAGCAATCCTAAAACAGAAGAGATAGTATGTAGCGCATTTTAAATATTTGATAGTTAATATAGACAGAAAACCAAGAGAAAGGAGAAATCAATTTAGCAATTCATCTGAATTCTCCGGATCGCAGAAGAAGCTTGGGTTAAGGATGCTATTATATTATGGGATACTTCTCAAGGGACAAGAGGCAGCGAGTAAATTCAACATCTCTAATTGAGGACAATACATTTGACTTTGAGAAAATTAGATTTTATTTTGGATGAATGGAACAGTTACGTTTATCATGAATATATTGTGTATTTCTCATTATCAGCAGGTTTTAGTCTCCTCACTTGCGTGGCACGATGCCGTGCAAATAGCCTCGTCACATTCAAGCTATCAAGATGCAAATGACTCTACAATAATCATAATAGCACTGCATGTAACTCCAATCATCTCATCCCCTGATGATAATTGATGCAAAGACCCTTAAGAAAGAAAATAGATTATTTATTAATCATTACTTGATCTTAATTTTCCATTCAATCAGCTTGGAGTTTATAATGTAATTTCTAAACCAAGAAACTATTTAAAATTGGTCCTGCAATTTCCTGGATAAATATTTTATAACTTCCAAAAACAAACGGCTTCTTATTTTGTTGTTTCTATGAATGCTTCGAAAAAATGTGAAAATGTAAATAAGTGATCGTTGTCTTTCTTACAAGATGAAAGAGGTTTTGATAGACTTTGACACATTGTAGAACTTGGATAATTAGTATTTCTAAAAAGAGAAAGTTTGATAAAAAAAAAAAAACAATAGCATAATTTTTAAAAAAAACATTGTCAAAGCAAACGTTTTGAATTATAAAGATGTGTAAACAAGTCATATGAATGGATTTTCTATACTTAGATCAATGATGGGAAACTGACCTGTCATCCAAGTACAATTTTCACAATTTAATTGTGATGGCAAAGGTCCTTATTGTTTCCAACATATGACTGAAAAGAATGCGTTTCCTGTTGACGCTAGACTATGGAAGTCAACATAAACAATCTGAAGCTCATATTGTAAAAATGTGGTTGCAACTCAATGTGTAATTTGTAACATTGTATGACCAGTTTTCATTAATAAGAAATGATAATAGGTTCCAGATTTAGCCAAAATTTGTTATTTACATTTTATTTTATTGCTCCAGTATAGATGACAGGTTGTGAAAAGTAGCCATATTTTTTAAAATCAAGTATGTTTCTATATTATGCATTCACATTATGTTATCCATTGGCAAAACAATCAATGTTAAATTGCATGTCTAACGCTTTGTTGTTTTATTT